AGGACACGCTGGAGGGACTATGTCTCTCGGTTGGCCTGGGAAAGCCTTGGCATTCCCCCGGAGGAGCTGGAGGAAGTGTCTGGAGAGAGGGAGGTCTGGGCATCTTTGCTTAGACTGCTGCCCCCGCGACCCGGTCCCGGATAAGCGGAGGAAAATGGATGGATGGATGGATGAGCTGGCTGTCGAAATATCTTATGTTACAACGTGGACACCTGCGGCTATGTACAACATGTTTTTCGTCTTACATTTAGTGGGTGCGGCTTATAGTCCGGAAATTACGGTACACATCTGTGATCCAACTACTGACAGTCATGTGCACTTGCTTTTCATCCATTTGTGTTCACAATATATCTATGGATATACTGTAGAAGCATCTCTGAAACTGAAGGAAACCAAAAAAATGTGACAATTCTCAAGCAAGTTGTGGAGGTAAGAATGTCTTTTTCCCTATGATTTACAAATACATTTATAGATCTAACCAAGTTTAGCTCACCGAGAGGAATTGCGGGTTTTAAAATACATTAATTGCTTCCATTAGGTTTGTGTCACAGCTGTAGCTGATCCAACTGCTGATCATGTTAATAAGCTGCCCGAACTACAAAAGCTAGAAATCCCCCCTGCCTTTAGAGCACCAGCATGCATCTCCTCTTCAACTCTCACCTTCCCCCGCTTGGGAAGGCACACCTCACAGTTTGAAGACCTCCTGTAGAGCACAGGCTTGCTGGAAGACGGTGCCTAACCCGAAAAAGTCTATTAAATGAGCGTTAATCTACAATCACCAAATCACTTATAAATCATCACAGCAAGCGTTGCCATTCTCTTACTTGATTCAAGCAGTAGTATTCGCAGCAGTATTTCACCCAGCAACTTTAACCATTTGTTGTTTATTCTATTTCCGTTAGAAGAAATTTGACTCATGGTAATAAATTGGTGCTGTACTAATATTTAGAGGAACATAAGTGCGTAAGCCTGAGGCTTACTACTGACCCAGTGGAGAGTTGTTTGACAGGTCGTATTTGCCAATCTCTAGGAACCGTCCATGTCTGGCTAGGCAGCGAACACTAGCTTGCAGCTTCTCTTCAGCCAGAGAGTTCAGCACCACATCCACACCTGAAACACACAAAACACTACTATGTCACAAAAAGTGGCCTATGTGCAGCGGTACTCTAAATTGAAAGTGTAACACAAGCTACGTTCACATTACAGGCCTTAATGAACTTTTCTTTCCTTTTGTGTTGATGGTTCACATTCTTGTTTGTGAAAATACTGGCACCCCCGCACTTCTCCCAGAAAATTGTTGCAATCACAAATGCTTTGGTATTCTCAAGTTTATTTCTTTTGTTTGCATTGCAACACTGATGCCATATCTGATACAGCTTTAGTGGCAACACAACTTTCTTACCAAGCTCAAAAGTGGTTTTGAACTGTTTGTATGTACATTGGCATGCATTTACTGCATCTTGTCTGCTAATCTGTACACTGTGAAAAATGCTAAACTACACAATCATCAAATCCCAATTTAGTCACAGGTGGTTAAAAAAAAGAAAGACCATAACATGATGTAATTTCACTTCAGGAGCTTCTAAATAGTGACTAGGTCTGACTAGGACTAAAAATGCAACACATTGTATGTCAGTACTGTATTTCATAGTGTTTTTAAGAGATGGTTCTTATTTCAGAAATTATACAAAGAAAATATGTTCAAATTGTGTGAAGCATGGCATGGTGAACATAACTGGTTATTACAGTAGGAGATGTCTGACCTCTGCCCTGTGTGTGGAGTAGGATGTGCTGCTCAAAAGAGGCGTCTCTGGAGTTAGCAAAGGACTCTGCTGAGAGCTGAGGGAACCTCTGCTGCAGGTAGGCTCGCTTCTCCGCTGAGCCTAGTGACACCGCACACAAAATGATTGGGGTTAAAATGAGATACTTATGTCATAATAATTATTACTACTTTAGGTAACTGATACAACAAGTTATTAGATACTACTGTATATCCTAATTAGGAATTTTATAATTATTTTTAAGCTTCTCCCAACTCTAAGACAAAAGTAGTAAAAAGAAATCAAACTGACAAGAGTTGACACTGTTTCAAGTTGGTCAGTTTTTCAAGGCATGGACTGCCCGTCCACCCTAGGGTGCAACTGTCAGTCTGTACAGCTTGAGCGCTTTACATCATTAGTGTAAAGTACATTTCATGAAACAATACAATAAAATAAATTGCAATACTGAACAATTATTTTTCAAGTGACAGAAACAGGCTTTCATATGAAGTAGTGAAAAATAAATCATATCAGAGCTGTGACAGTTTATCTGAGAGTGCTAAATACCAACCAACGGTAGTGAAGACTCTGCATTTCTTGCTGAGTGCTATGGCGATGGCAGCCTGGCCGACACCACCTGATCCTGAGTGGATGAGAACCTTCTCTCCAGGGCGGAGCCTGCCACGCACCACCAGAGAATAGTAGGCTGTGGCGTAGACCACTGGCACAGAGGCTGCGTGCTCCAGTGTCCTGCACACAGGTGCATCACAAGAATCATTTGCCATCATACAGGGTAAATATCCTTTATGCTGCTGTGAGACCACCCATGCAAAAAACACTTTTCCCTCAACAATACTTGTCTTGATTCTTAAACAGAAAAACAAGATGTACAAAAGAAATCTGTGAAGTGCACAGTCTGAGAATGTGCAAAGTGTCTGATTTGCAGTTACTTGAAAAAGTGGGCAGTTGTGTTTGGACACTTAGGAAAGTTATCAATTAAAAGTGTTTTAAAGAGTTCAACAATCATTCTTCAAATGTAGAATCGTATAAAAAAAGAGTTTAAAGAGATGGTGAAATTTAAACTTGAAAAAATGGGCAGTTGTGTTTGGACACTTAGGAAAGTTATCAATTAAAAGTGTTTTAAAGAGTTCAACACTGTCATTCTTCAAATGTAGAATCATATAAAAAAAGAGTTTAAAGAGATGGTGAAATAAAATAGGAAAAAAACAGAAACCTATGTGCTTTCTGAACTGAGCCCTCTCATGGTGTGCCCAAGAGAATAGAGTTTTCAGTCTTAAAACCAAGGTTATTGATGGGTATTATCTGATGTTAGTCCTTCTTCTCAATTAACTGGAAAAAAATTATATTGTGCAATTTTAGTTTATAGCCTGAAAATTTGACAACGTGGGGTAACAAGGTCATCGGGTTTGAGATCATTAACATAAAGGGGAACTTTATGCTCAACTGCCTTCATCCAAAGCCATATTCACAACTACAGAACAACTTCCAGTGGCTCTGTGATCAGATCAAAAAGTTTAATTGGCTTAAAGGGAACCCTCCCTCTCAGGGAGACTGCTGAGAGTTGGTCAGTAAGGCACAACTATAATAATTTAATTCACATGATCTAAAACTGCAAATAAATACATCCACTTCACAAAGCTGGAAGCTTCCTCTGCATCTAGAGAGAGGAGACATTTAGGGATCCTGTCTGAAGGTGATCACAAAACTATCAAATAGGTACTTTCACATGTTCTGATACTGTGTCATTTTTTTCAAAACTACACACAAATTCAAAGATTGCACACACAAAATGCTAACTTCATCATATCTCCTGCACAATGACACACTGCCAAAATACCATATGCACATTACAATATCAAGTGGGATCAAATGGCAGAGACATTTTTCAGAACATTAAATAGAATGAAAGTAATCTGCTGAATATTACTGTAGTACAGCATAAGAGAAAAAAACCTTATGAGAATTTGTTCAGGAACCATAAACATATGTAAACCTAAGTTACACTGAAGTCGCTATATGGCCTGTACACTCACCAGTTGTCTCCCGACTGTAAAATGCACATGTTGTGTGGGTGTCAACACCCACACACACACACCCACACACAACATACTGAAAAACACAGTGCTCACCAGGTTGAGGGAACATCCCAGAGGAACCGTTGGTCAGCATCCACACACGTCGCCAGGCCTTTAGCAGGTAGCAGCCCCATTACGCGCCGACCATTCGGGTCACGACCGGAAAACTCCATACCCAACATGCACTGCTGCAGATCTAGGTCTCCTAAAATATGCACAATGAACAGGAGAGGTTAGGCGTCTGGTTGTGGCTGCTTGACATACAACTCACAACTTATTTTACTTCTTTCTTTGTGTAATCTGTTATAACACTAATCTGGTCCGCATACCTGGAATAGCATCCGGTGGCAGTTTGCCAGTGGCCAGCATTATATCTCTGAAGTTGAGTGAGCTATAGTAGACCTGACAAAGCAGCACGTTGGGATTATTGGCCACAAAGTGACGAAGTGGGGAGGCAATCCAGCGCAGCGAAGACAGGTCACCACGAGTCAACACATTGACGTAGGCCCGCTCAGTCAATTCTTCATTTAGATCTGACAAAGACAAAACAGAGACAGAAGCTTCAATGGAGGTGTAAGCAAAGGGCATGTCAAACATTCTGGAAACAGGATACTGTATACATAATAAACAGATCCTTTCCTCTGTCAAATTAAAGAATTTTCTCTCTGTTAAAAATAGTTTGTTAGATGGTTCCCAACACATGCATTTCTTTATCTTTACAAAACCATAGTGGGTAAACCAGTTTGTGTTTTCCATCCTTTACCTATACTGCTTATTGTTCAAAGGGTCACAAGGGAGTAAAGCTGATCCCAGGTGACACTGGGTGAGAGTTGGGGTACACCCCCGACATTTTGCCAGTCTATTACAGGGCTGACACACAGAGATGCCAACTGTCTTTGGGCTGTAGGAGGAAGCTGGAGTACCTGGAGAACAGGCAAACTCCACACAGAAAGGCCCAAATCAGCTGCGAGGTCTGAACACATCAAAATTTTTATTAGGCAGAAGTGAAAATTTGATTTTTTGCTGGGGTTTTTCAAATCTCACTCTGGCCCGGACAGGGGGAAGACTAACTCAATACTAACTCAACAGTTGTGGTGAACAATGGTATTAGAACAATGGGTCTCATTCACCAACATCTTCCTAAGTGTTTCCTTAAATTTCTTCATAGGTGAACTGTTCTTAAGGAAGGTCTTAAGTCTGTAGTAGTTTATTCTGAAAGATCATAATGCTTTTATAAAATAATGGGAAAAATTAAATACTAATGACAAAAGTGTTATTGTAATGTAAATCTTCCAATATTATATAACTGTAGAATTGAAGAAAACTAAATAACCAGTTATTTCACACAAACATATGTAGGTGTGCTCTTGATTGCGAGTAGATTCTGTTCTTACCCAAAAACAAATCCCAGATAAGAAAACATCAGCCAATGTCTGAATCTTTGTGAAAACTTCGTAAGTGGGTTTTAAGAAGAAATTTGTACTTAAGAATAGTTGGTGAATGTGGCCCAACGTCATTCTAAGTGGAACCAGGACAAGCAATATTTTGGTACCGTTACTGATGAGCTGGTGTCTGAACGTGCCCCAGTGTCCATCTCTGAACACATTCATAACCAGATCCCCCTCCAGCACTGCCTGCATGGACTCATGGGCCAGCTGGAGGCTCGGTGCTGCTGAAGACTCGTTTAGATTGGACACAAATGCACAGCTGGTGAAGGGAAGGAGCAACCACAAAAACAACATTAAAACAGGAAACGCAGTACAATAAACCATTTTCACTGACTATTTCGTTGGATTTATATCTACAATGAGACTGATCTACATGTTTGAGTAAAAGCTATCCTAAATTTGGGTAAATTATGGCAGCTGCTACTATGAATTATCTAGATTTGTGATTTTCTTTCAGGTTACAGTCTCTGCCACTGCGACAACACTGATAAAGGACTATGTACTGTATGTCAGAACATATGACCTACCGTATTCGGCTGCCACCTGGCTCTTGCCGGAGACAGTTTACCATTCCCACAATGCCACAATTGGCCTGAGAGGCAGTCAACCACAGTGGACTGTCTGATGGCTCCATCATCATCACCTGTCACACAGATCCACACTGAGGTCACATGGAAACTGCATTCAGACACAGTAATTTCAGTGTACAACTACAGTACATGAACAATTTTCTACTTCCTTTTTTAAAATTTCAAAAGCCAAACACATACAGGAAGGATGCGGAACCCACCTTGAGTGTTTCCACCCACTTGTAGTCAGAGCTGTCCACAGGTAAAAAAAGGGGCTGTTTGCTTGGAGATTGACGGCGACATAGAAAGAGGGCTGAGCCATAAAAAGATCTCCTGACAGCCACCAGCCTGAGGGAGGCCTCAGAAAACACCTTTTCCCACTCAGCCTGGCGAGAACAAATAACATTAGCAAAAAAAAAAAAAAAAAAAAAAAAAAAAAAACCACCTCCCACTCCTAAAACAGGGGGATGTTAACATCTCCCAGAGCATGTTAATGATCAGCTGACTTTACTGAAAATAATATATTGATTTGCTTTGAGGGTTTTAAAATCATCCAGATTAACAGAATTAAGGACAACACACACTGGCAGCATTGTGCAACATCCATAACACACACTGGCAGCATTGTGCAAAATCCATAACACAGGAGCTCCACCTCCACCAGCAACAAGCTTTATTTGACGGAGGTGCAAAGACTCAGACCTCTCAAGCACCAAAAAACATCTTCCATGAACTAACAATGTCTCCTTGTGCCACCTGTGATCTGGGTTTTGCCAAATGTCATTGGCTACACAGACGTTTTGTCTGTTACTTAGCAGTTTGTTAGATAGGTCTACCTGCAGCCACCACACAGCAGCAGGGTACATGTCTCTCCGAGGTGAGAGAGCTGTGCTTGCATATGCATGTCACAACAATAATAAAGTCACTTTCGGCTTTTCCCGTTTAGGGATCGCCACAGCGAGTCGTCACACTGACAACTCGCATCTTGACATTTGGCACGGGTTTTTTCGCTGGATGCCCTTCCTGACTCAAAGCCAGGCCGCAGCGGCGAGAGCGCTGCGCCTTAACCACTAGCCTACCAGGGCTAGTGGGTTTTTTTATGCATGTCACAACAGTAATGACTTCACGAATTCTAATTATTATACTCCACACAGAGACAAGATTGTGCACATATGGTGTTGATCCTGACCAATCACCATACAGTAAGTGTAGTCCTGATTGTGTTATTTTACTTGATCTGTCAAGCTGAATTCAGACTAAGTCACTGCACCTATGGGAACATGTGCCAGTTGCTCAGACGGCTGCAAGGATAATGATGTATCCTGATGCATACTCACGCCAACCAGGAATATCACCAGTATGTGTTTTGCCCTTAATTGTTCTATCAAATTTAGCGACTATCAATGTGATATTGATAAAATGCACAAAAAGGAGGAACAGTGTTTAGAAGAGTGAAAAATCTTTCTAAGTTAACATGAAGTGACTTGAACACTGTCTCGACTAACCTGTGTGAACAGTCCTTGCTGGCTGCTGCTCTGAGCAGTGCTGGAGAGGAAAGCCACTGTTTCCCCCAGAGTCTCTCCTTTCAGCAGGGTGTGGAGGAGAACAAACCCCCCTTGTTTGGCTCCAGAAGACAGATTTGCCATCAGCAGTCCAGGGTCCGTCCTCAGAGGGCCCCAAGCATGGTTACACACCACCAGGTCTGCCCCTCCTACCACACCTCCCGGAGCTGGGCCCATGAGGGGGTCCCACTGTACTGAAGCAACTGCCAGCTCTTGAAGGGTGGCCTGGTTGGGGAGCAGAAGATCCACGTTGGCTGCCGTGGCAGTGTAGTCCACATGCAGCATGGGTTGGATGTTGAGGAGGGGTACCACATGAGAGAAGAGCTGGCCATCATTGGACAGAGCCTGGCAGGGGTGGGAGAGGTGGAGAATGTATATATTCGGAGACGAGCATAAATCAGCCATTTTGCATCTGGAGAAAATTTGCCCAATTTTTTTTGCTATGGGATTTTTATCTGCTTTTCAGTCTTACCTCCAGGACTTTGATCTTGCCAGACATGCCGTTTTCCATGGCAGTATCCAGGCAGTGTCTGAGGGCTGGGCTGTCTAGTAGCCCCCGCAGCAGGCTGTCCTGCAGCAGACACACCCTCTCCTTCTCCACTGTCTGCTCCAGTTCAGAGCGAAGGTTCCCGTTCAGCTCCAGACCACAGAGCACCGCCAGAAGCCGCACCAGGCTGGGCTCAGAGGGCTCAGGGCTGGGAAGCGCGCTATCTGGCTCCCCTTGCAGCCCAGGGACGGAGAGCTTGAGGCCATGAGAGGCCAACTTTTGCTGCAGTCTGTAGATTAAACCTGGATGAAAAGAACGGGACAAAAAGTTGGGACATGTAGCGGTAATGACAAAAACAAGACTGAGCTGGAACTATCCCTGTATATTGCGCTGTTCGGATTTTGACCTTGAAGGCTATGACTTGGTATGCACAAACAGAGAGAATAAGATGGGAGGTGGTGTGGCCTTGTACATAGATAAAAACTTTTGTTATAAGAATGTAGACAAAATGTCTAGGGTAGTAGATAATTTACTCGAGTGTGTGACTGTTGAACTACTTTTGGAAAAAAAGAAGAATGTTGTAATAAGCTGTATCTACAGAGCACCTGGAGCCAGCATAGAAAAATTTAATGACTGGATGGAAGAAAATTACTCGTCAATAAGTCATAAATTAATGTTTATATGTGGTGACTTTAATATAGATTTGTTGAATCCTAACAAGCACACAGCAACTGAGGAGTTTATTAACACATTATATAGATGTAGTTTACACCCAAAAATGAC